AAGACCAAATGTTTTCCTCTGTTGGGTCAATAGAAGAGTTGGTGGTTGGGCTTATTACTTCCAATGATGTGTCTGAAAACTGTCATTTAAAAAAATTTTTTAGTTTAAAGACTGAGTTGGAATTTGGTCTTGTATCAACAGCATCCTCTCATTCGATAATCTATTGCTTACACTTATTGCATCTCTTCATAAATGAGGCACTTCCACTATCTCAGATTCTTCAAATCCAACAGAGCTAGAAGGATGTAGACAAGCGCTGAAGTGCGCCAGAGAGGGAGGACGGGACATGCCCACTCGCCTCTGCCCTAGGATACAGATTAGAGAAGCACTGTTCCCACCCGAAGCTCTAATATATATGTACGGGTCCTCCCATCCAGGGGAGACCTGTCCTTGGAGGGATCAGAAAAACTTCTTTTCAGGCAGGCCTTGAAAAAACAGATTCGTCTTTTAGAGTAATTTTGCCGCCACAGTACAATGTAAAAGGGGAAATGTCTGTTTTCCTCTTACTTTGGGGCAACAAAGCCTGAATAAGCCTTCACACGTCAGGCTCACTTTCTCATATGGATCCCTCCCCAGGAGATTTCTCCCCTACATTTTTACAGGAGCCATTTCCATAAACCTTTGTTCCTTTTTGTCATGTCTGATCCAGTGGTCCTGAAACTCGGAACACTCGTTTAAAAGAAAGCTTACTTGGAAGCCCCACATGTAAAATGCATAAAAGCTGAAGGTCCATTTTGGTTCAGACAGGGGTGTGTGTTTTAGCTCCACCTCATTCCTGACTGGCCCCACATTGCTTCTCTCCTTCCTTTCCTTCCCTCTCTCCCAGGGCTCTGCAGGTCAGTTTGCTTTGCACTCCTATTTTCCTTATTACAAAACTCATTTAAAAACAGTGCTCTCTCCTCGCCGTCTAAGACAAGCTCTCACCAGAGTGTGCCTGTGTTAGTTAATAGACCTACTCAGCTGCCCGTTCATAGTCTATGTCTCCAGTTGCCTGGCAGAACCTCGGCAACCTGCAGTGGCCTACACGTTCCAGAAACAACAAGGTCCCTTACCTGAGAAACTTTACCCACAAAATTTTATTTATTTTTAAAAAATATATTTTATTGATTTTTCACAGAGAGGAAGAGAGAAGGATAGAGAGTTAGAAACATTGACCAGCTGCCTCCTGCACACCCCCTACTAGGGATGTGCCTGCAACCAAGGTAAATGCCGTCCACCAGAATAGAACCTGGGATCTTTCAGTCCATAGGCCGACGCTCTATCCACTGGGCCAAACCAGTTAGGGCTATCCACAAAATTTTAAAAGACATCAAAAAGCCAAGCCAGGGGCTTGTGGGTTAGCTTTGTATTATATTTATTTTTTCACTGCTGTGTTATGAGTATGTCACCTTCCACGTAGTTTTGCACCACATAAGCCTCGTGTGAACAGATAACTCTTAAATGTTGTGGACAGTGCTCTGTTCGGTTTGGTTGGAGGGGTCTCTTTCTGGGTTCATCCATTTGACTCTCAGACTGGGGTGAGGGAGTGAGGGCGAGCAGATGTGAAGAATGAGCTCCCGAGTGTGGACTATCTTTGAGGCGGGATGAACCTAAACAGTGAAGTAAATGAAATTCTTTCCCATTGATGCCCCACTCCCACAGCCTCAGAGAAAAGAAACCCCTTTTGGTGTCCACAAGATCATCCAAGAGGATCTGGCTCTTCAAGTAGGTTGTAGCCGCCCTGTGGCGTGGCAAAGGGGAGGGTCAGATGCAATCTTTGATTGCTGGGCCCAGTTCCAGTTCCGGCCGCTCTGCTCCTTCCTCAGCCAAATAGACTAACCTGTGGGTGGAGACACAACAGCAACTGCCATTGGCCTTGTGCAAGTGTCATAGCCCATTGCACTTGTTTCCTCAGCTGCCACGTGGAGTTGTGAGGATTAAGTGAAGTTCAGTTGTCAAGTTCGGGGCATGGTGCCTGGGATGTAGTGAGCCCCCAGTAATATTATATATGTTAGCTGTTAGGTGGCAAGCCCAGTGGTAAGTATTTTGCATAGAGTCCTTTGAATGCTCACAACAATCCTGCAACTTCCATCTTATGAGCTCCATCGGAAGAGATGGAGGCACAGAGGTGAAGCCGTGTGTCCAAGATGAGCCAGGAGTGAAGGTGCCAGAACCACACCAGGTCGGCCTGGCTACAAAGCCTGTGCCATGGCTGTGGTTTCCAGAGCAAACAGTGTATGCGCAGGCATCTCTGTGACAGTGGGACCGGAGCCATCAAGCTAAACAACTCCTCGCTCCACGCAGTCCAGGGTAATTCAGAGCCACTGAGTAAACAGACCTTCCTGGGCAAGAGTTCCCTTGTGTCAACTTGCCTGGTCTAGGAATTCTCAATATACACACTGGAGCCCAACCAAAAATTCAGTGTGAGGCTGGTCTTTCTTGAGATCCCTCCCAAGGGTCTTAGCTCATGATAAACTGAAAGGACCTTCCAATGAGGTGGTTTCACTCAAGGGACTCTCCCTTGACATCTCCCAGGAAATGCCTTTTCCGTGGCTCTGACATACCTCAGCCCCAAGTCTCCAGGGAGTGGAAGAGGCACAGGTAGTCCACCTTAGGGGCTCCCTGCTTTGACACCCCCTCCCCCTCCGCCCCCAGCCTGAGTCAGATGTCCTGTGGGTTCTCATCGCACCCGTGCCAATGCCCTTGCCTCGCTTCCCACCCAAATGAGCTCAGCACGCTGTCCTGATCACCTGTAGTCCCAGAAATGATCACACTTTTCAGAACAGCCACAGTAACCACAGCATTGCGACAGTTGACATCTACTGGGCACTTCCTGTGTGCATTTTGAAGTAGGTACTGTTGTGATCCTCCCTTTAAAAGCAAGGAAACGAGCTCAAAGAAGTGCTTTTGCTTCCAAAGGCATGCAACCATAAGTAGTAGAGCTGGGTCTGAACCCAGGCAGCTGGATTCTGGATCCATGCTTTTATACCAGGACTCTATAATGTTTCTACCTAGTAGAGGCTTAATTAATTTATATTTGCAAGTGGATCAACATGTGGGTGTAATTGCTGTATGTTGAGAATTATGACATGACCCACGATGTACTTAAGTCTGTGCAGTAATGATCAGTGTTATAGTTGAGCCCTTCTATCCTTCCTGCTTCCGTCCTGCCATTCTCTATCTCTGTGCACTTGTTCAGGGGAGGCGGTTAGAGCCATGCTTGTGACATGGCCTAGGTGAGAATGCAAGTTCGGGCTCTCCTATTGGTGAGCATCACTTCTGTGGGCACGTGAGTTATCCTTTCTTAGCATCTTTTCCCTCAACTAGAAATAGGAATAATAGCGGAAAGGGGTGCAACTGGATGGTGATGTTTCCTGTGATCGCTTCACGCTCTAAGATTGTGTGTTTGTTATCCTTTTAGGACATCCTCATGTCCTGCTGTCACATTTGCTGCTCCTTCATTTTGTTTCCAGCCGATGCTACTGTTTCTAGGCAACACAGCCACTACTCACTAGTAGCTTCCAGGGCTGCTTGCTCCTTCTGTCAGTCCCGAGGCTGTCCCATTGCACCCGGATCCCGTGGACATAACCTCACAAAGCAGGGGCGGTGCAGGCAAACAGGACGCTCATTGCCATGGACATGAGAGGCCTGGATTCTGGCCCTGGCCCCGCCCCAGTGGGTGGGGACATCAGGGCCAAGTGCCTTCGCTCCTGGGATTTCTTTTTCTGACCCTTAAAGGGAAAGGGGTGCAACTGGATGGTGATGTTTCCTGTGATCGCTTCACGCTCTAAGATTGCTCCTTAAGCACAGCGTTTAATACCATACGGTTACTTCTTACTGTTGACATCTATTGTTAAATTAGTGTGTGACTATTGCAGGAAATCATGAATGAATGAAGTCCCTGCCACATGCTGGTATCACATGCAGGCTGTGGTTCCCTGTGCTTCAGTGTGGGCTGAAGGAGGACTGAGATAACCAGTGAGGGCACATAAAATCAGTTTCTAACTATTGCTGCTGCTACTACTGCTTACTTATATGCTGCTTTCTAAAAATATGGAGTAGTGTGCATAGGGACTTGTAAACCACCTTTTTTCATTAATGGTGATTTTTTTCCCCCCCTCATGTTTCTAATATTCACTCATTTTAATGATGGCATCCTGCCCTTCGATAGGACTCAGAGTAGTTTATTCAAACAGCCTCTTAGTCTCACACATTCGTTCCACTTAAGCTTTTCCATATTATAAAAAACATATCTAACCGTTTTAACTTATTTAAAGAATGAAACGTATTGCTTTGCCACAGGGAAAATTTTTCACTAAATGATTCTGATCCCGTGACACCATCGGCCCTGCCCGCTTAGTGAGACGGGAGGTGGGACGCCTGCAGGAGGGCGGGCGGACATGCTGGGCACGGGCCAACACCATCTCCATCCGTTACTCCGTCAGGGAGAGGAAAGCCTTTCCCTAAATCCAAAGCAATGCCCTTTTCTTTCCTGAACCGAAGAGGAGGTCCAGGTGGGGCCAGGTCCTGTAGGAGGAAGATCCAGCCAGAGAAGGGAGGCCCGGCTAGGAGCGCCCTTCTGCTGTCTGGCCTCACACCAAGAGCTTAGACTTCTAGACCTCCGCTTATTCTGTGAATAAACTATTAGTGCTGTTGTTGGTGCCGCATGCTCATTACCCCTGGTTTGGAAGATGGACACTGGGAAGATTGTAAGCATAACATGAAATCGTAGGTAAAAAGTGAACTTGCAGCCTTGGAGGAAATGTACAGAAGTGAGTTACAGAGAGCGTGGGGCCGCTGTTCGTCTAGGGAACTGAGTGTGTTTATAGAGTTAACGGTGCTTTTGGAGAAAACCTTTCCCTCACACACCACAGCTATTAAGAGGGAGCAAAAGCAGTAATTCGACCCTCTGCTCTTTCCATGCTTCTTGTCCTTAATCTTTGCCAGATGTAGGCTGGCAGCGAGCCCAGAGGGGAACACTTTTTCTGATAGATGTAGTTTTGTTTTTGTCTCCCTTCTAGACAAAGAATTCTTGAAGGAAAAGGAGAAGTTAGAAATGGAGTTAGCAGCAGTGAGGACTGCAAGCGAGGACCACCGGAGACACATTGAAATCCTGGACCAGGCTCTGAGCAATGCCCAGGCCAGGGTCATCAAGCTGGAAGAGGAGGTGAGCTGGGGTGGGAAGATTGTCGGGAGGTTGGGGGATAGGGGCGGGTGGGGGGGAAAGGACCCTGAGGGTCTCCATTTCCATTTTCTAACCCAGCACCCTCAAGTAGAGCCAACTCCAAGGAGTTGAGTTGGGGTGGAGGGAAAAGGGGGAATGTAGGAGATCTCCCAAATAAATATAAAAACGGAGTTGATCCAACCCAGAGCCAGGCAAAGTATGAAAGGCACACATGAACACCATCAGCAGAGAGCTCACCCTCAGCCTGCAACCCGCTGCCGCCCACTGGTTGGCATGTGTTCAGGGCTAGAAATAAGGGGGAGGACTGGGAACCACTGGTTCCTGTACAGAAAACAGACTAACAATTAAAAAAAAAATAGTTCAGTTAATCTGTCTTTGCACTCCTGATTGCATTAAAAAAGGCCTCAGCCAAAACTGGTTTGGCTCAGTGGCTAGAGCGTTGGCCTGCGGACTGTAGGGTCCCAGGTTCGATTCCAGTCGAGGGCATCTACCTTGGTCGATGTGTGCCTCCTGCACACCTCCTACATGGGATGTGCCGGCACATCCCATGTAGGAGGTGTGCAGGAGGCAGCTGATGGATGTTTCTCTCTCAGCGGTGTTTGTGGCTCTCTATTCCTCTCTCTTCCTCTCTGTAAAAAATCAATAAAATAATTTTTAATTTTTTTTTTAAAGGCCTCTGTGGGGTGGAGCAGGGGTGGCCTTCAGCAAGCCTGTCTCCAGTTTTCAGAAGTTGGCGCGGCCTGCAATGACCCCTCCCCCATGACCCCTCGCCCCCCAAATCCAGGAAAGTGTGATCCCATGACTGTGGAGATAGAGCGGCCCCTTCTGAGGTCCGAGCGAGGGGATCCAGTCTGTAGACAGTGTCAGAAAAGGAGGCGAGGTCTGGCTGGGTAGGCAGGAGCCACGTAGACAGTAGAAGCCCTCAGTCTGGAGGACGCATGGCCCAGATGGTCTATGCAGAGTACTAGGCTTGCTGCCCGACGGGCAGAAAACAGTGCCGTGATTGGTTCAACGGTTGCTGCTGCAGTTGAAAATAAAAACTATTCCTCAGAAATATCTCCTGATGCCAGGTAACTCAGTGTCTCAGCAAACTTCAGGGTTAAAGCAGCTGACGGGGAAGATTGTTAAGTCTGCCAGGGTCTTGTCCATTAGAAGCCTTTTAAACCCTGTAAGTCCTGTGTAGAAACCACAGTGTGAGTGCCAGCATGAGCCACCCCAGGGCAACAGCCCCGCTGTATCTTCTTTGTCACCCCGGAGGAACTCGCCAGGTCGGAAACCAGGTGCCCAGAAACTGGCCTCGGCCCCAAAGGACAGGGGGTCTGCTTTGAGGCCAGGACCCTTCTTATCCTTATAACTGAAACCACCTCGTGAGGCTCCTCTTCCGTGTGAGGAACGAAGGAAAGTTATAAAATTTTAATCTTTTTTTTTTTAAATTTATTTCTCTGAAAGTGAAAGCTGTGAAGTCCTTGGAGACAGGTTCTTTCAGATCACCATTGTGGATCTTTTCTTGTCATTGTATCCATAGAAGGCCTTTGATCGTGTGTAGCCTCTCCAAAATGTCCGTGTCTGGCTCCCAGACGCACTCCTTGTTCTTATTAAGGTTCCGTCTGAAGAGCCTTATTCAGTCCAGATGGCTCCTGTGGGTGCTTCCCAGCCTCCCCAGGATGGTTAGAGCTGGGGCTCTCCGGCCAGACTGCAATGAGTGAGCTTTGTGACCCCTGAGCGGATGTGTCAGCTCTGCGACCTTGAGCAGTCACTTGACCTCTTTCGTCCTCAGTTTCCTCATCTCTTAAACTGAGATAATAATGAGATACTACTTATAAAGCACAGAGCGTGGCATGGTGGTGCTTTAAAAATGTTGGCTGATGTAATTATTGTTACTATCAACCATCTTCATCATAATATACTCCTTGCTAGGCTTAAGGTTGATACAAAGGTAAATGAGAGCTATCCAGGCTATCTCTCTCTTTCCTCTCCCTTCCTCTCTGAAATAAAAAATATATATATTTTTAGCCTAAACCTGTTTGGCTCAGTGGATAGAGCATCGATCTGCAGACTGAAAGGTCCCAGGTTTGATTCCGGTCAAGGGCATGTACACTGGTTGTGGGCACATCCCCGGTAGGGGGTGTGCAGGAAGCAGCTGGTCGATGTTTCTCTTTCATTGATGTTTCTAGCTCTCTGTCCCTCTCCCTTCCTCTCTGTAAAAAATCAATAAAATATATTAAAAATATATATATATTAAATAATAATAAATAAAATTGCTGTTTTTGCCACCCCCTTGAAAGATCGAAAGCACTTCCATTTTATTCCAGTGACTCTGTCTTAGCTCAGGGCAGTGCAGCTTGCTAAGTGAGAACACCCCTCACAGCAGCTCTTAAATCCCAGCATGTTCCCCCTTGCCAGTGCAGTCAGGGGTTAAACCCAGGATCTGAGTCAGCTGCAAGGCATGTGCATGCCCAGATGCAGAATGGCAGGAAATGGCATCTGGCCTCCCTACTCAGGACCAGATAAGTGAGTGTCTCGGCCTGATTTTTGACACCAGCCACTTCCCAGAAAGTTAGAAACGTGCCTAGGATTCATGCTCACGGCCCAAACTGTCACTGGAAGAAAACTAAGTCTGGGGGTAAGAATTTGAAATTGTTCATCAGGATTCTCAATCCATACTGGATGTGATGTTTCCAAAGGTCATTCTTACCTTAATTTTCATCTCCTCAGTGGTTGTGTTGGGTGTTCAGGCACTCTGGCCTCTTCAGGGCTGTCAGCTACTCGTCTGTAAAGGCTCAAACTTTTAGGAGAAAAGTTACTCCACAATTACCTAGAATGAGCAATTTTGATCTTTATTCAGACATACACCTGGGCACACGTGTGAATAAACACACACAATTCTCTATTACAATAGTAATTTATTATTATTATGGAGAATTTGAAAAATACAGAAGAGAATAAAGAACATGAGAAATGTCTATTCAGCCATACTGATAAACATGGTTAGTGCTTTTATTTTTATTGATTTTTAATCCTTACCTGAAGATATTTTTTCTATTGAGAAGGAGAGAGAGAATGTTGATGTGAGAGAGACACATCTATTTGTTGCTGCCTGCACTCCCCCCAACTGGGGTCTGAGATCAAACCCGCAATTGAGTTACATGCCCTTGACCAGAAATCGGTCCGAAGGCCGATGCTCTAACCAGTGAGCCAGACTTACCAGGGCTGGTTAATGCTTTTAAGTATTTCCTTTCTGCTTTTTTTATTCCTAGATAGATTGACAGAGTTGTGATAATGTTGTATATAATTTTTTATCCTGAATTTTCCAGTTAACATTGTAGAGGAAGCATTTCCTCATAACATTAAAAACTCTTAACCCCATTCCCAATGCCAGCAAATGCTATAATGACTAAGCAGTAACCAAGAACTGAGCTCAGAGCTGTACCAATAACTGACGGCAGGTGCCCCAGTAGGGTCTTCAATTCCTAGCATCCCAGCCGCATGAGGTACAACCGGCGGCCGTGTCTAACCCTTTGCTGTGCCAGCTCACGGGAGTGGGAGGAGTGTAGGACACATGCCCTGGTGGTTTAAGTCCTGTCTCCCTCCACCCGGTGCTGAGAACCGCTGGTCTAATCCTGGGCTCCTTTCTCCCTCTGCTCAGTTACGAGAGAAGCAAGCCTACGTGGAGAAGGTGGAGAAGCTGCAGCAGGCGCTGACCCAGCTGCAGTCTGCATGTGAGAAGCGGGAGCAAATGGAGCGCAGACTTCGCACCTGGCTGGAGCGAGAGCTGGATGCCCTGAGGACCCAGCAGGTGCGGGGCTGGGGAAGGGGGAGGGGCCAGCAGAGGGCAGGATGCACTTGAGGCTCTGCTCCTGGCACTGGGGATGCCGGAGTCAAGGAGAACGCCCTGCCCTAGCGAGCCAGCACAGCGGCCAGTGGAGAACAGGGAGTCCACTGGAGTGATGCCCTCACAGAAGGCGGCTGGGCATCCGGGAATGTGGCTTCAGACAGCCTCACAGAGGCGGACATTTGATTTGGACTTGGAAAGATGAGTTTTTGGGGGGGTTCTGGGGAGAACATCAGAAGTAGAGGAAGGGTATGTGTCACAGAGAGAGACAGCAGGATGCAGCCGGTCGGGGAAGGCCCAGTGCGGTGCTGGAGAGGTGAGGCCAGCAGGGGAAGGCATGTGGTCCCGGTGAGGGACGGGGTTTTGTCCTGTGACAGCAGGGCCAACGATGGGAATTTTTCAGCTGGAGGGGAATGTGATGCACGGGGCTAGGGAAAGAGTGCTCTGGGGTGTCGGGAGGATCTTGGGGGGCAGATGGCGATGAGCAGGCCGGCCCGAGGGCTGTTGGTGTCATCAGCGGGGAGTGGCAGTGGGAATCCAGGGGGAGCGAGCAGGAGTGAGATTAGTAGGACTGACCATCAGTGCATGTCCCGAGGTAAAGGAGGGGAAGAAGTTCAGGACGATTGATCCCTGGAGCATGATATTGGCCGATCCTCTGCCTTGTCTTATCCTGGCGGCGGCAGCTAGCGTAACTCAGCCATGAATAAGCTCAAGTAGAATTCCCCAGCCCAGCTCTGTGCGCCTCGGCTAGGGGACAGGCCTGCAGGATGGCCCTGTGGCTGGACTGGGAGCCTCCCAGGCGGGCAGACTCCGGCTCCAACGAGCGCCTGGCCGTGGCCGTCAGCCAGTGCGGTGGGCAAAGCCCTCGCTGCAGCGATGAAGGGTGAGGCCTCAGTCGGGAACCAGGGAATGCAGGACGGCCCCATGGAATGACCTGCTGGGCGGGGCACAGCAGTTGTGGGTGAGAGACTTGGAAACGCTTGAAAGCGCACACGTGGGCCGGCCCCGCCCTTTCTCATGCCAGCGCCCCCATTTCCTGGGCGTGTGTGCTTGGCGGGCGGAGGAGGTGTCGGTGAGATTGCCCAGAACGTTAAGGAGCCCACCCGGCCGCCCACCATCTTGGCTGAGTTGGTGGCTCGTAAGGAAGGGTGAGTCTGTCTTTGGACTGCTGCCCCGTCCACCCTGGGCTGCCTTCCCTGGCCTGTGGGCCACCCTCCAGCTGTTCCCTGAGTTACTGCAGCTACTGAGGTCGACCCTCTCCATTAGGGGGCCAGCTTCTCAGATGCTGGCACCACACTGACACCAGTAATCCTCATGAACCCTTGGCTGGCAAAACGGGCACATCTCAAAACTCAGCGCTGCAAAGAATGTTTGCTTCTATCATAGTTACTGTGCCCCCAGCCCTTACGGTCAGGTGACTTATCCTGGGACTTTCTATTTTGGATGCTGTGAAGCCAGGCTCAACCCCGTTGTCCTTGCTGTGTACCCAGGAGAAAAGTGAGGTCAGAGTGATTTGAAAAATATCCCCTGCCACAGAGGACCGTTCACAGTGTGCACGCTCAGAGCCACGCACCCTCATATCCATCGCTTCCTCAGCCAGGCAGAAACGGGTCCCTGCCATGCCTAACGGCTGCTGGCAGATCTGGGCACACTTGGGGGGGGGGAAAGGCGGGGACAGAGGTTTCAGAATTGAGGCTCTCTGGGGAAAGTACTTGGCTTGCGTTTTGGGCACTGACAGCAGACCCCCTGCTGGTTATGGCTGACATGAGACCAAAAAGAGGGGAGACGATCTTTATCGCTAATCAGAACTTTGTTTATCTCGGCATCTCTTTAAAAATAATACCAGGTTTTTTTAAGTGAGCGTGTTAATCCGTCCCCTATGATATGAAAGATGCTTAATTTCCTTGTTGTTTTGCCCGCTCGTTAAAAAGATGAGTAATATTTTTTGTGGTTTTCTTTAATACCTCTATTCTAACATTCTGTCAGTGAGCATACATTATTCTATAACCCAAAAAAAGGTAAAAATTTTATTACAAATAAATTCACCCCAAAACCTTGAGTTTCTAGCTAGTTCCATGTGATATCCTATATAATATAAGACTAATATGAAAATTGTCCCCTCGACTGGGAGTTTGACTTGGGAGTTCAACAGGGAGTTCGGCCAGGGGTAGGGCCAACCACCCTGATGGAGTCTCATCCTGACAGAGAAGAAAGAGCAATGGGCCCACGGGCTTTTGTAAACCATATGTTTGTGTTCAGGTTTTTAAAGCTACAAATACCAATTATGCTAGACTCTTGGCCAGTGGCTAACATTTAGTCAGGAAGGCATGCACCTGTCCTCATCCACCTGCTCAGGAAGACTCCCGCAGACAGCACCTGGCCTCAGGCTGGAGGACATCAGGTCCAGCAACACAAGAGCTCCCTGGCGCTCAGAAACGGTCCAAGAAAAAGATCCCACAGGCTCACTAAACTGGTCAGTTTCTCTCGGAATCCTCAGGTTCCCATCTCAACTGGCTGATCATTCTGACCTCATATGAGATCATGGCATAGAGCACCTGATTCAGATCACGAAGAGTTATTACAATAAGAGCAGGAGTTTAGACACTCCAGCAGAGCACAGTCTAACAGGCAAGCAGGCCAGCCCGGAAAACGGGCCGGCGGGCAGGCAGGCCGGCTTCTGCTGCCCATTCAGTTGACCAACAAATATTTACTGAGCTCATACACCCTGTGGGGATGCCACAGGGAACACGTTTCTGTCACCTTTCCCAGCGGGACTGGAAAAGCCAGAGTAAGGGAGGAATCGGGGAGAGGGTGCCAGGATGCCCCAGGCCTTGCACATACTCTGAAGGTCACGATGATAAAATAGCAACGACAGCTATTCTTTCTCACCGAGTTGCCCAGTTTCGGGCACTGTGCGGATCTTCTTATGTGAGGTTATACCTGTAAGATCAGCGTAAGGTATCTGCCCCATTTTAGAGACAGGGAAGTTGAAGCTCAGAAAGCTCACGTACCCAAGGGCTTTTTCCGAGGAGGAGGAGCAGGCAGGAGTCCTCCACCCTGGTCAGTCTAGCCCGGGAGTCATCCTGTGAATCAATTCTAGATGTTCCCTCCAATCTACCCACGGTCGGGAAGGTCCCAGGACACCTCACAAGATGAACTTCAGCTCATGTGGGGGCTGTGTGTTGTTAAGGATGTGGGTGGAGGAGTTAGGCTGTGTCCTGGCGTCAGTCTAAGGGCAGAGCCCCTGTGTGGGTCTTGATTTAATAAGTTCTCTGAGCTACTCTTTCCACGGGCCTTCCAGAATAATGCCCTATGGGGAGTGGCTTTGTTGAGGGTGGGATATGGCCAGGAGCTCTGTTACCATGTGACCTCAGTGTGACCTTCCTACAAGGGCCAGATAAATGCCTCTGCAGCACAGGATTGAGGATCGGGGTGCCAGTAGGCTGGCCACGTCCAGGAGAACATATGCATGAGCCACTGCAGAATGAATGAGGAGGAAGCTGATCAGCGAGGCCCCTGGGTACCTTTCCCAGAAGGTCCGAGTTTCTCGGGGGACCCCAGGCTCTGGAGCGGACTAGAGTGGACTCCAGGTGTCCCTGCTGAGGGCTAGTAGGCCTGCACCCACCACACTGTCCATGGGCTCCAGGCAGGAGCCTGACCAAACTTTATAGTATACTAGAAGCCTGGTCTATGAATTTGTGCACAGGTGGGGTCCGGCCCAGCTTGCCCCATCTGACTGGCTGGGGGAGGGGCCACGGACCATTGGTCCCACCCCTGGTCGAACTTGTGTGTGGTTCAGAGTGTCTCTCACCTTACAACCAGCTCTGCATTTACAATGTGTGACCCCCTGGGAAACCGGAGGGGATGTAGACTCGCTGGGATGAAGTCATTCTCCCTGAAATCAGAACCTCCTCAAACCCCATCATCCTCCAAGTCGTGCTGTTTAGAGGAAATAGGATGCCGAAGTCAAAAAGGGGGAAAATCTGAATGTGAATATTCTCCTCTGTGAGCAGTCCAGCTAAGACATCCGCTTTATACCTTGTCTGACAGACCCGGATGAAAAGAACGGGCTGAGCTTGCATTACAGACTTTCTGGCAGCTCTTTACTTTGGCTAGCCCTTTAAAGCTTATTAAATGCTTTCCTATGCATTATCTTATCTGACTCTCAGGCCTCTGAGTGGGGCAGGTATTCATTTGTTTCCCAGACGACAGCTTCGGAGCCGGGAGAGCACGTGTGTCAGGGCTCCTTGCTCCCAGTCCCTGGGCCTTTCCATTTTATCTCTCGGCCTCGGGGAAGACAGACACCTGGACTCACTTCTGAGCACTCGGGAGAAAGTGCCCCGACCAGGAGGCCAAGACTTAGTAGTTACTGCACTTGCTTCTGGTATAAATGAACTTCAGGGCGTTGGGCAAGCCAGTTCTTGTCATGCAGAAGCATTTGGACAGGCATGGTTTGAATCCTGACAGACATGGTTTGAATCCTGACCCTGCTGTAGCTCAGAGACATGGAGCAGTTCATTTAACCTCCCTGAAGCTTAGTTTTCTCCTCTGTATAATTGGGATAATGTTGTCTACTCATGCGATAGTTACATGACAATTCATCGTGATTTGGTAGGTGAGGTGGCTTGGTGTTAGGATCTGCTAAGGTTGGTCATTTCTCCTGGAGAGGGAACGAGAATGGGATGGTAACGGGTGTGGACGAGCTGGGGACCTGGGCAAAGTCTGTGTGCTCCGTGCGGGTAGCTCTGCAGAAGACACGGTCCGTGTGGTCTGCTTTCTAGCCCCCATTTCTCATCAAGATATTCTCCCTCTGCCTCTCTAGAAACATGGGAACGGCCCGCCAGCCAGCACGCTGGAATACAATGCCCCGGCCCTCATGGAGCTCGTGAGGGCGAAGGAGGAGCGGATCCTGGCCCTGGAGGCCGACATGACCAAGTGGGAGCAGAAGTACCTGGAGGAGAGCACCATCCGGCACTTTGCCATGAACGCCGCAGCCACCGCCGCAGCTGAGAGGTGAGGGTAGCCCGGGGCCCCACGGGGCTTCACTCCGCCGGGTAAAGTGCATCTACCCAGCGGGATACTGTTCGATCTTCCAGTGAAACCTCCTGGTTCATAGTCGGACGGCTCAACCACTGAGCCACGCTGGCCGAGCTCATTGGTTGATTCTTGTATGTGCCCTGAATGGGCATCAAACCAACACACCCTTCGTGTATTGGGACGGTGCTCTGACCAACTGAGCCACCCGGCCAGGGCACAGTTCTCTTATTCTCACCAGCCGTCTTTACTGAGGAGTGATCAAGCTGCCAAAACCAGTGGCAGGAAGAGTTCTCTTTGACCAGCTGTTTTCCATCAGACACCAGCTTGCACCCCACATTTTATTTTATTTTTTTTTTTTTTTTTTCAGAGAGAAAGAGAGAGGGATAGAGAGTTAGAAACATTGATGAGAGAGAATCATCGATCAGCTACCTCTTGCACACCCTTTGCTGGGGATGTGCCCACAACCAAGGTACATGTCCTTGACCGAAATCGAACCTGGGACCTTTCAGTCTGCAGGCCGAGGTTCTATCTACTGAGCCAAACTGGTTTCGGCACAGCTCCACATTTTAATCTCCCCATGTCCGTCCCTCCTGTCCTTCCCCCCACCCCAGCGCTGCACTTTCAAGGACAGGGTGTGTCTTCACCTCTTGGCTGTCAGCCGAGTGGACCTGAATCCCAGGCAGGGGCCCACAAAACAAGAAGTGGGCGAGGAAGCAAGCAGGATGGGCGCTTTCAGCCTGAGCGTCTCTGCCCAAGAGGACCAGTATCCGCGTTAAGTATTTACCGAGTCTCCATTTCACTGTAAAACACCGAAAAGGCTGCTGGGTGAATAAGGAGCAGCCATACAACTTCAGCCCCGATGGAGGAAGTCAGAAAGGATACGTCAGCGTGACAGAGAGACCCTCACAACGAGAGTAGTAGAATCCACCCGTCAGCAGGTGCAGCGTCCGTAGTCATAGCTGCCACAGAACCGCATGGTGCACGGTGGCGCTGGCGGAGGGCAGGGAATGGTTACTCTGGGGTTTTATTTTGTTTTCCTTAGATACTGTCCTCGTTCTACCAAGCGGAGGGAGCGATTGGGCCAGGATCCAGGAGGGAACGTCGGGGGAGGGGTGTGTGGGGAGAGGTGTTTGGCGCGGTGACCTCGCTCGCAGGCCTCTCTGTGAGCGTTCGCATCACTCTGTGTGCGTCCTGTGTTGCCAGGGACACGACGATCATCAACCACTCTCGGAACGGCAGCTACGGCGAGGCCTCGCTGGAGGCCCACATCTGGCAGGAGGAGGAGGAGGTGGTGCAGGCCGCCAGGAGGTGCCAGGACATGGAGTACACGTAAGGACAGCCGCGTGCGGCCGCGGCGCCACGCTCCACCCTGGCCACGCATCCCACGACCCCCGTGCCCGCATTGGGGCTCACACTCCAGCCCCAGCCCCGGTTCTGAACAGCTGACAGGCGGGCGGGCGGGCGGGCGGGCGAGTTACTCTCCCAAATTTGAAAAGAACTCGTTTTCTGATTCTTATTTTTGGCCTTTGGGGGGGGGGGAGGGGGAATTAACTTCTCCCAGATTCTCCCAGAAAACCTGTTCATCCTCTGACTTTCTGAGAAATTAGGGAAGTTGACTTCCGGGGAAGGCTGACCCTGAGTGAGGTTTTCTGCTGCTCCCCCCCCCCCCCGCCCCCTGCCCCGCCCCAAGCAGGGACCAGCCCTCTGAGCTGGCCTCTGAGCCGCTGCTGGGAGGCCACACCTGCATCTGTGTCCTCAGGGTCCCAGCAAGTCCCAGAGGCTCCGAGGGGCCAGAGGAGGTGCTCCCCACTCTGATCTACCACCAGAGACCCAGCCTACACACCCTGCAGATTGTAAATGTTTGAGGACTTCACTGCGCTTTGTTCTCCATCCTGAATTCTAATTCAAGTCCCCGGGGCCACCTGAAACACGTTTCGTGTTTTCCTAGCCCAGACGGAGTTGTGATGACGCCTGTTGTGTCCTGTTTGTTACGCAGCATTAAAAACCTCCACGCCAAGATCATCGAGAGGGACGCCATGATCAAGGTCCTGCAGCAGCGGTCCCGCAAAGACACGGGGAAGGCGGACTCCTCCAGCCTGCGGCCCGCCCGCTCCGTCCCTTCCATTGCCGCGGCCACCGGCACACACTCCCGCCAGACCTCGCTCACCAGCAGCCAGTTGGCGGAGGAGAAGAAGGAGGAGAGGACCTGGAAGGGGAGCATAGGTGAGCCCCACGCCGCCGTCGGACCGGGGGTCTGGGGTCTGGAAGGCAAGAGCGACACCAGCTCGGAGGGCAACCTCATCTGGTGGGAAAAGTCCTGACACTTGTGTGGTGTCTGGCTCTGCCCCTCATGGGACACAGAGATGCCGCTGAATATTTCCAAGCCTCAGGTTACTCATCTGTGAAATGGGGAGGATAACCAATCACACTTTGGCTGTGAAAATTGAATGAATGAGCGATGGGGAAGCAGCGGCTGTACCACCAGGTTGGCCATGGGCCACGGGTTGACGCGTGCGATTATCATCACGGTTGAAAGTGGAAGTGCCCGACCCTCACAACATAAAATGGAAAAGCCCAGAGAATCAGGCCTCTGAACTTGGCTCTGCCCCCGACCAGTTGTAAGACGGCTCTGCCTCCGCTTCTGTGTCTGTCCTGTTGCCCCTGGGCCGTGGTGAGGGCGAAACGAGATAAAGGGGCAGAGGCGCCCCGGAGGACGTGTGCGAGCATGAGGGGCTGGTGGCTGTGGTGCTGGTTGTGTGGTTGTTGCTCCGGCAGAGTTTTGAGAATTCTGCAGAGGTGGTGTCAGCCATGAGTGGGTTTCCTGGGGCGAGGGCCAGCCTGCCGACGGCTGGCTGAGTCTGGAGAGGAAGCAGGCAGCATTCCCAGACACACATCCTCCTTTCCCCCCCGCAATCTGGCAGCTGCAGGACCTGGTCTCCTTTGATGCATTTCCCTGGGTCAGAGTATGTTTTCTTTATCTGTGGAGCCGAGAGCCAGTTTTTGTCAGCACAGAGCCCCAGAGGAGCCTGGCTGCTTCGTGCCAGAGGGGATACAGCCTCCAGTATGAACCTGCCAGAGTCGGGGGGATGAAGGCTCCCAGCCAGACTCTCCCTGTGCAGTGCCTCCACAGGTGGCCTCAGCAGCCCCTGCCCTCCGAGGACATGAACTTCAAAAAGGACGCAGGTGGACAGCAGCGGGGATCATCAAAAGCGCCCCTCCCTCCCGCCAGGACACTTAGTTCCCCTCACAGTTAGGGAGCCCGAGAGTCCGTTTGCGACATGCAGCCAGGCAGGCGTTTCTCTGGTCTCTGTGCCTGTGCCCCTGGCATCTGCATATCTATAATACACCGGGCCTGGGAGCAGGCCAGGTCTGCAGGAAGAACTGCTGTGTTCTCTGCGCTGCGTTCCTCCCATTATTGCCATTGTCACCAGTGTCCGCGCATCACAAAACCAAGAGGCTCTCTGAGAGGCGGGCAGAGGCGGCAGACACAGCCACTGCACAGTCCCCACGCCGTTTCCACCATCGCTTGCCCAACAGGCCCTGGGAGGAGGTGGGGGTGACAGTGTAGGCCCTGCTGAGGGCGAGGGCGAGGGTGAGACGACCGGCCAGTGACCTAGTCCCACGAGAGCATCCCTGTCCGCCTGCAGCTGGTCAGGAGGGAAGAACACAGGTTGGCGCAGAGGTGGGCACAGCTGGGATTGAACCCCATTTCTGCGCCTTCTTAGCTGTGGGATGCTCACGTCTCTGAGCTGCCGTCTCCGTGTCTGTAAAGCAGCGGATAACACGGGGCCTGTCTCAGAGCGCTGCTGTGAAATGCAAAGGGAGGCGATGAGTGTGAAGCCCCCGGCCACTCCGAGCGTGGCTGTGGACCGGCCTCACTGGCCTCACCCGGGAGCTTGTTAGAGAAGCAGCCTCAGGCCCCACCCGCTGATGACAACACATCCAAGCCACCAGGAGGCACGTGCCATTGGAGAATGCAGCTGTGGAGGGGTGGAGGGGGCAGGAGGGGTGGACACACACGCACACACACACACACACACACACACACACGACACTGTGAATTGCTGGCTGGTTCGGCTGCGTGAACAAGCCGTTGACTGTGCCGACCACGTCTTCTATAGGCTAGTGTTCGGGAGTGCTGGCACGTTTCTGAATGTGGGCCGTATTTCATTATTTAAAATAAAAGCGTAGCTGTCCAGCCCAGCTCTGCAGGGAGACGTTGAGGCGGAGGAAAAGCACTGCCTGCCTTTTCCCTCCAGCACGTTCTCGCTCCTGCCCCCAGCCTGCCTACCCCCCGGGCCCTGAGTGGAAGCGGCCGTGTGGCTCCTCCCAGGGGCCCGGCTGGTTTCCTGCTTCTCGGGCCGTGGCTCTCAATGGTGTGGGTCTGACCTGGAAACGAGGTTGTATCTGAGCCCGGCGCTGCAGGAGACGGTCCAGGACCAAGACGGGGGTGGAAGTGTGGGCCGTTCAGAAGCCCAGCAGGCCCGTGGGGCCCTGCCCAGGGCCAGGAAGACTCCGTTCCTCTAAGGCACACACCACGACTCGAGACCAGCCCTCTCCGGCCGTGCATGAGGCCGAGCAAGCGTGGACTCCAGACAGCCGTGCAGGAACCCCCACCCCTCGGCACTGGGTACAGGGTACCTCATGCAATTTAGAGTAGTTTTATCCTACTGTTTATCATATTAGATTATAAGCAGTTTACAACTCCTTAAAAATGACCATAGATTTTTTAGGAAGGCGACTAGGTTCGTGGTTGGCAAACTGTGGCTTGAGCCCTAACCAGTTTGGCTCAGTGGATAGAGTCCGATTTGACTCAGGGTCTGATTCCAGCCAAGGGTACTTTGGTTGAGGACACATCCCCAGTAGGGTGTGCAGGAGGCAGCTGATCAATGTTTCTAACTCTCTATCTCCCTTCCTCTCTGAAAAATCAATTATATATATATATATATATATATATATATATATATATTTTTTTTTTTTTTTAAACCTGCGGCTCTCAAGCCACATGCGGCTCTCTGGCCCCTTGAGTGTGGCTCTTCCACAAAATACCACAGCCTGGGCAAGTCTATTTTGAAGAAGTGGCTTTAGAAGAAATTTAAGTTTAAAAAATGTGGCTCTCCGAAGAAATTCCAATCGTCGTACTGTTGGTATTTGGCTCCGTTGACTAATGAGTTTGCCGGCCACTGGCCTAGGTCTTTTCCATTTTTAAGTTTCCTCAGTGCCTCTCAACTGGTCAGGCACATAGTCAGCGCTTGTAAGTGCGTTTGGCAAGTGAATCGGTGGGCGAATACAGCAGTCCTGAGCCTCCTTGACTCGGGCTTCTGTTTGTACGAAAGAGCGGCATTGAAAAGCTGTCCTTCCGTCCTCAGGGCTGCTGCTGGGGAAGGAGCACCCCGAGCCCGCGTCCACCCCCGCGCTGCCTGCCCTGCCCGCCGCAGCCCCGGCCCCCACCGTGCCCGCCACGTCGGCCAGCAGCGCCCACGCCAAGACCGGCAGCAAAGACAGCAGCACCCAGACGGACAAGAGCACCGAACTCTTCTGGCCCAACATGGCCTCCCTGCCCACCCGAGGCCGGCTGAGCGTGACCCCCTCCAACAGCCCCGTCCTGAAGCACCCAGCGGCCAAAGGGGCCGCGGAGAAGCTGGGTGAGATGCTCTGGGGTTTGGCGCGGTAGGGAAACACCCGGGGGCTCTCTGGCCTGGGAGAGGGAGCTGGGGAGGGGGCAGCCCCCACTTGGTGGCTGTTTTTTATGTCTATGGTTACCCTAATACACCTAGGCTATGCGCTGAAATGTGAGTAGGCACTCCTAATTTATTGCTGTGCTTTGTCACCAGCCCTCTCCTACAAGGGGCAGAAATAGACGTGCTCTAAGCGGTGTGTGTGTGGCGGGGAAGAGGGGACAGTACCAGGCACCCGGTGCCTCTGAGGCTGGGGTGCCTAGACGGGGCCTTCCTCGTTAAGGATTTGGGGTCAGGGGTTCCTCCTTCCTGAAGGACCAGGCAGGTTTAACTGCAGAGGAGGGAACTCGGGCACGGCACTCAGGCCGGTACCAATGGGCCACCCGAAAACATTTAGGAGAAGACGACTCGGGAGGAGGGAGCTTGCGGTGAATCCAGAAACATCCGGGAAAGAGTAGACTTGGCTTTGCTGTGGGCACTAATCTTAGTCACAGGGTCTCTTCAGGAATGCTTTTGAGGAAGCGTGGGGTTATTTATTTGGGGCATAAATGAACTGTTCACCCTACGAAAGAGGCACGTGTGTACAGCACTGCCATTGTTCTGAGATCTGACTCCTGGAGGAAGACAGGGATGTGTAAGACATGTCTGCCCCACGTGGGCCGGGCTCTGGAGCCTTGCCTGCATGCCCTGGGGGCGAGGGTGGGATCTCAAAGGGTCCCACAGGGACCCCGGTGGGGCCCGCCCCCGAGGAGAGGAGCGGGTGCTGATGCTTCCCCTGTGTTTGGCAGAGAGCTCTCCTGGCCACGGGAAGTCGCTGGACCACAAAGGCCGCGCCAGCAGCCTGCTGCACAAGCCCGAGTTCCCGGACCCAGAGATGATGGAGGTCCTCATCTAGGCCGTGCCCCTGGGGGACGCCGTGCGGGATGGTGACAGGCGGGGAGGAGCGCGCCTCCGGGAGCCGCACGAGCAGGAAGAGCGATCGGGAAGGTGGTAGATGGAAACCAAGCGTGATTTGAACTGATAAAGACTCCAGACTCGTAAGAACACTTTTTATAAATTTTTTTTAAAACAACAACAACAAAAAACCAACCAGGAGACCTACACGAATGAAAACGGAGTGAACGTTGTGGATTTTTATCGTATATGGCGGCAGAGAGACGACGCATGTAGGTTTGGGAACGAAGAAGAAATAGGAAATGGACTTTTCCAGTGTACAGAGAATGTATCTCCTGGGGGAGGGTCTGTGTGCAGTACCCATTTTCTGGTTATAAACAGATAAACCTGAACCGGAATCGTCCTTGGAATACCCCCCTTCTCCTTGACGGTTAGCATCTGTTTAAGAACGTCCTAGAAATCTCCGGGAGCCCGTCCGGGTGTGATGTAACACCGCCTGTGCCCCCCCCCCCCGGGGGGGGGGTCTGTGAGAGTGTGATTGGCTGTGACGATGAGATGAAAATGTTGAGGGGCGACCTTCCGGTCCTCGTCGGATGACCTGCTGGGTTTGGGTTTTGCAGGCGATTGTGGGGCTTCCTCGCGTGAGTGGACCCGAGGCAGTGTGTTCTGAACAGACCGGAAGCGTTTTGATCTTGGTGCTCATCCTCCCGACTTCACCGTTGTCTTTGCTTAGTTTTCTTTCATTTTACTCTTTTTTCCTTCGTTTTTAAGTGAAGCGCGGCAGAGTAGGTCTGGGATTCACAGGGCAGTGTGTGAACTGTCACCGTTCCTGCTGTGTGTCACAGAGGCCAGCGGACAGAGCCCCAGGCTGGCCTCCTGGCTGCGGCCTCCCCCGCAGCCGCTCATGCACTGCCTGTGTGAGGAGCGTGGCCCTGGCTTCTCTCTCCCTCACGTCAGCTCCTGCACGGAGCCTGGCGTTTCCTCCCCGGGCCTCTGTGGGGTAAGAAACAGGAGTAGCCCAGAGCACCTAGCATTGCCCATAAACCAACCCTAGGCGTAGATGGAAATGTTTCTGTCCCGTTATAAGCTTGACTGTACATCCATCCAAGAAGCATGAGTTGTGCAGGGTCTGGACGTGGCGGGCAGTTGCCCGGCGGTGTCTGATTGTGGAGCGCGCAGGCCCTGTTTCCTGAAGGACAAGGCTTTGGCTCTGGGCAGAGGCGTGCAGAGCAATTCTCTTCCTCCTTCAGCGTGGGTGGCAGCTTTTGTGTGCCGCCCGGCTGGGGTGCTGCGCGGACTAGGGGGTGCGGCCGGATTCCAGCAGCTAACTTCTCCGTCTTGGCTAGTGACGGTGTTGCGTTCAGCGGTTCCAAGCAGGCACGGGGCTCTGGCTGGAGACCCAGGGCGGCAGGGCCTCCTCTCTGCAGTCCTGCGGACTCGCTCTCTGGGCTCCTGGGTTCACCTGACTGACAGGGCGTGGGCTGGGTATCCAGACGGTGGTGGTCCCCATGAGCTGTGGACGGGAGCAGCTCGGGGGTTCTGCTGTCAGGACGCCCCTGCAGAGAAGCCCACCTTCCAGAGACCGGTTGGTCCTCCCCGTGCTTTGCCCTCAGCCATGCAGTGGCCTTTACACAGCGAGCACTGCTGGGCAGATGAGCTCTCCCGGGCAGCAGCCTTCTGAGCCTGGTGTGAGCACAGCCATCAGGGGAGGCCAGGTCCCCAGGAGGGTGAAGAAGGCATTGGGGTTTAAAAGGTGTCCAGGCAGGGAGCTGGCGCACATCCTAGGGGGAGCTCCGTGGGCAAAGAGGTGTGTCTCCCAAAACCGGAGTCCAGGAGCGTGCTTCTGTGCCCTCCGAATGACCTTGTGCTCCAGAGCGAAGGGGCATGCGGTCCTGGCCAGCGGGAGCCTTCGGGGTTCTGAAATGGTGAACGCTGTCAGTAGCCGGAGGGCATTCTTCCCATCCCAAACCAGAAGCCGTTGTGATCTATGCCCATGGTCAGCAAACTGCGGCTCTCAAGCCACATGCGGCTCTTTAGCCCCTTGAGTGTGGCTCTTCCACAAAATACCATGGCCTGGGCGAGTCTATTTTGAAGAAGTGGCGTTAGAAGAAGTTTAAGTTTAAAAAACGTGGCTCTCAAAAGAAATTTCAATCGTTGCCCTGTTGCTATTTGGCTCCGTTGACTAATGAGTTTGCCGACCACCTGTCTATGCTTTATACCTGTTGGTCTCCTTTTCTTGTTTCTGGTTAGTTTGTCCATGAATTTAAAGCATCTTCATTCAGTGTGAGGAGGGAGATGGGTTTGCCTCTGACAGGTGGCTCCACGGGAGATGGGTGGAGGAATTACGAAATTGCCAGGAAAAAAAAAAAAAGAAAAAAAAAGTTGCCAGAAGCTGATCCGCTGGGAGCCAGGAAAGGTCAGCATTTCAGTGCATGGATTTCCTCCGGAACCCATGAGCAGTTTCCTCCCCTTCCTTTCAGCGGCAAACCCTTCTCCAGAGCAGTCATTCAATGACATATAAAGACACATGTATATGTAGGTGCCCACACGTGAGGTCTGACTATAAGGTGGTGGGTTGGGTTTCTCTTCTGAAAATCCAAAAGATCCAAGTGTTGCCTCTTACCTCGCCCTCCTCAGAAGGCGGCTTTTTGGGAGACTCTGTCCTGGCCGTGGCTGTGCTGCCCACGGAGAACCTGGTGTGAACGAACACCTCTGTGGGTATGGCTTTGGGACTGGCGTGTTCGTGTCACTATCCTTAGACGTGAGAGAGCTTCATCCTTTGGAAGATGTACTTAGGTTTGGAAGTAATCCCAAGTCATTCACTCAATTGGATAAATAAAGATGTGTGATTAAGGTAAGTCACACCATTTTAGCTTTAAACACACACACACACACACACACACACACACACACACGAAACTCCTAAGATGTTCCTTGGGGTGAGTCATTGGACTCCAAGAGCGCCTGAAAATGACCCCTTCTAAGGAGGACAGCCGCCATGAGTCTGTGTTACTTCTCGTGATCCATTTTTAAAAAAATATATTTTATTGATTTTTTTTACAGAGAGGAAGGGAGAGGGATAGAGAGCCAGAAACATCGATGAGAGAGAGACATCGATCAGCTGCCTCCTGAACACCCCCCACTGGGGATGTGCCCGCAGACAATGTACATGCCCTTGACCGGAATCGAACCTGGGACCTTTCAGTCCGCAGACCGACGCTCTATCCACTGAGCCAAACTGGTTTCGGCTCATGGATTCATTTTTTAAATCTGTTCTCTCGCTATGCCTTGTACATGATCCCATCCCCGCACACACGCAGATGTAAGCGTGTAGCCATTGGCTTAAACTCCAGTAGGCGCCCCGTAGAGCCGCGTATACTTAGCGCATGTTATTGTCCGATGTTATGCTCTGAGCTAGGTGTTTGTCGTGAGACTTGGCTTTGTTGCGAAATTAAAATATTGCCCTCAGTACAAATGAAGTACCTACACAGCCTTTTCTTGTGTCAGCCCCGGAAGCTTTGGTGCCCAGTGGTGTGTTTACATGTGACGTTGCCTAGGATTCTGTTCCCATCTAGACACCTGCCTGTAAGTATTTATCTCAAGAACAGAACATACGCAGACGTACCCACGGTGGTTTTCTTTGCGTGAAGGTGTGTTTTTTTCTCCCCTCTGAGGAGTGGCAGGGGGACCTCCTCCTCCTCCTCCTCTTCCTCCTCCTCCTCCTCCTCCATGAGGCGCTTGCAGAGCCTGGGGAATTCTGTGGGAAGGGCAGGTGCCTGCAGGGGTCGGCCAGGACTCGGACTGCACCGGCACCTCCGCCTTTCACCTTTCCATGTGTGTCTTTGTGCTCGGTGCAGCGTGCTGTGCTCTCCAGCAGACTCAGGTGCGACGTGTGGCCATGTTGGTCTGCCGGCCTATACGGACCTGGGCGTCCAGAGCTGCACGGCCAGATGGGTCTGTGTACACCCAGGGCTGGGGGTGGGGGGGTGGGGAGGAGTTCAAGAACATGGAGTGTGTCCCTCAGAGAGTGCCGATATTGTTGGTCAGCCAAAGATTTTCCTGTTCTTTGCTGCTTAAACGTGTGCCTTAATATTGTATATAATAAAAGGATAAAATGGCTCCTCTTGCCTTCACGCCTGCTCTTTTTTTCCAAAGAACGTGTGTCTGGGGTGCTCGGTGAGTGTGTGTTGTGTTTCATTTCACTTCATTGCTGGGAGGCGGCCCCCCTGGCTGTCTTGTTTCCTGGGGGCCCAGCTTCCACCAGCAGCTCTGGGCCTGACAAGGAAGTGAGTCACACAGACCAGGGGAGGGAGCGTGCCGCCCCCCGGGACAGAGGAAGCTGAGAGCCGGCGGGAGACAGGGCTGCTTGGCTCTCTGCTGGGCTCCTCGTTGGGGGCTCCTGGGTCCAGAGCCTTCAGGGGTCACTGTCACTCAGGAATTAGTCTAAGCAGCGTGTGCCCAGAGTGTGGGGGGCCTGCCTGCGCCCCAGGATGGACATAAAAGATGTACCTGCCTTGTTAGCATCTTAGGGTCACAGGAAAGGGGGCGGGGCTTTTGCAGAAAGGGATCCCGTGGGAACTGTCAAGTTCAGGCGGGAGCTCAGTGACTGAAGCTGCAGAACAGAACAGACCCTGTGAGGCCCTGAGGTGCAGGCACCCCTCCCGCCCCTTGAGGGGACAGTGACCTCCAGGGGACACCGCTGGGAAGGAGGAGGAGGCGCCCTCTGTTTATTCTCCGACCTTCAGCGGAGAGAGGGATGTGAGACGGCAGCGTATCTGAGCCCAGGATGCAGAGCTGTGCACTTACAGGGGCAGGCTAAGGAAGAGGCCAAACTTTGCAACATGTGTCAGGCGTGGCCAAGCGCAGTTCCCAAAGTCTCCAGCGCATCGTGGCATTTCCAGTCGCCTGTCCAAGCACGAATCGGTAACGAATGTCAGGATGATGTTGGGGTCCCGAGGGGTGCCATGGCCCAGCCGACGGCTCAGGCCCACCCTGGCCGGGCCTGCCCTGTTTCCAGAAAACCTGTCAGCTCTCACCGAGGGGCTGGTTTTCCACTCGGCGTCCCAGCCTTTGGCCTGGAGAAGAACACGTTTTCCTGGCGTAACCCAGCTCGATGCGAGTCTGACTCTGCCCAGGCTGTGGCTGGTACTTAGCCTCCCCCTGTCCCCAGCACTTCCATTTTGCAGAGCGTCCACCAGAGTTTTATAAATATTTAGCTTTAGGAACAGCTTGTAGACAGAAGCCCAGTTTGTGAGTCACTTGTCAGGTGATTACTAAAAATCAATTATGTGCCCAGCACATTTCAGATGCTGGAGGGGAGCCATCCCCACCCTGAAAGACAGGGGAGTGTGGGGGGGAAGACTGAGGACTGAACACCTACTGTGTGCCAAGCATTTCCTATCAATCACTGCATTTGGTCCTCAGGAGAGCAAATGCAGAGAGATGCAGAGAGATGAAGCAAAGGATCCACCGTCCACACTTACCCAAGGAAGTGGCAGGGTAGCATGCGAGCCCACGCTTAGCTGACGAAACACAAAGATTTCCCCACAATGCCATGCAGCCTCCGTGTTTAAGTCTAATTGAGGCCACCTGGTACAGGAAACAATTTGCTCCTCGCCCCCTACTCACGCACCCCACCACCACCGCCTCAGCATTTGGAGAGAATTTGGCTGCTGGGGCACAGCCATGCCCTGCAGTCCCAGCCCCAGGGTGGCCATGAGAACAGACAGAGGCTCCACCAGGTCTGCCGGGGGCGGTCCAGCAGCTGGGACACATTTAGAGAGTGCACCCGGAGAACTCAGAGAACCTTCTACTGCCTGTCAGGGCTCCTCCCCTGGCCCAGGGCCAACTGCTGCCCTGGCCCAGCCTCCCCAGCACTGGAGCCTACACAGGACCCAGGGTTTCCTCCCCTCTTCTCTCTCAAGTCTCCTTCCTTTCTCCATACAATTTTACCTGGAAGAAAAGTAGTTAGAGACAGTAACTGTGTCTTTACTTTAAAAAAAATTTTTTAAATGTCAATAATTAAAACTTATTTAATTTAAAAATTTAGTTTAAATTTTCACATGCCAATAGTTTATACAATACGTAATAGTTTATATCTTAGTCCAGTGGTCGGCACACTCATTAGTCCAGAGCCAAATATCAGTAGTACAACGATTGAAGTTTCTTTTAAGAGCCAAATTTTTTAAACTTAAACTTCTCCTAATGCCACTTCTTCAAAATAGACTGGCCCAGGCCGTGGTATTTTGTGGAAGAGCCACACTCAAGGGGCCAAAGCCGCATGTGGCTCACGAGCCGCAGTTTGCCGACTACTGTCTTAGTCCCTAAGAATCCCCTTTCCCTTTTTCTATCTGCCGCATCATTCACCACTGAATACACACCCGTCACAGCTCGCCGTGACTGCTGCCCATCAGTCATAAACTAGAGGAGACAGGGCAGACACAGGCCACCGCTCCAGCCAGCTGTGCCTCTCAGTTAGGACCGTCCGTGCCCCGAAGGGAAAGGTGAAAGGCCACTGTGTGAGGCTTCCAGTAACCAGCAAACAGCAGCGCTGCCCGAATCTGTTTCCTTAGAGTAATTCTGGGCAGTCACCAGCGGCCGATTAATGTGCAGCCTCCACTTAGTAACATCCTTGCCCTGTGCATGCTGCCCTTTTTCTAAAGAGCTTACGTATGTTTTCTATGCTGTAGCATGGCCTAGGGATGGCTATCTTGTTTTGTTTTGTTTTGTTTTGTTTTGTTTTGTTTTGTTTTTTCCACAGCTGGGAGAAACCAGAAGAGAAAACCAGGGCACTTTCCCACTCTCCCGGTGAAATGCCAGCAGAGTCCAGTTAAAGCTGAGCCCTCCCGCAGGCCTCCCAGCACTGTCTGGGCAGTGTGGGCCATCTGCACTGACGCTGAGGGCATCAGGGCTTTCCAGAGCCCTGCACCCTCGCTACCTGGTGATCAGGGCCCCGAGAGGGGGCAGGTGTGCTGTGGATCAGTCAGCCATCACCTAAGCAGAGCCTCCAGTCTGACTTGTGTGTCTAAAAAGCTAAGAAATTTAGCAAAGGCTCTGTTCTGGGCGGGGGAGCTGGGGTTTCTCCTGGGAGCAGAGCCGGGAGGGTGACCCCAGTGCCGTGAGGTCATAGTGAAAAATGTCTTCCCTTGAGAGCTGCAGAGCCCTGTGGCTGCACAGCTGAGCTGGGAATGGCCGTGGCAGTAGGGTGGCAGGTGCAAACAGGCCAGGGACCTTCCCCCAGGGGGACCAGGGCTGATGGCCAACACAGGTCCCCTTTGCGGTGAGATATGGGGTTGGATAAGTGCCACTCACCACCATCTGGTGGAGACCACACGCAACAGCTGCTTCTTCAGGATTCTCGGGATGTACACAGCATCACAGACAACTCGTGATGTAAATAATTCACACCCAGAATACACTTAAATATAATACACACACACACACACACACACACACACACACACACACACACACACACTATTTCAGCATACTCATATTGTGTTAAATGAAGGGTGTAGAGAGAAGTAAAGTGCTATACCCGCCCTTCTCCTCCAATCTCATAGTTTGGGTGAAAAGACCATGTAGCCGAAACCAGTTTGGCTCAGTGGATAGAGTGTCAGCCTGCAGACTGAAAGGTTCCAGGTTTGATTCCAGTCAAGGGCAGGTACCTTGGTTGCAGGCACATCCCCAGTAGGAGTGTGCAGGAGGCAGCTGATCGATGATTCTCTCTTATCAATGTTTTTAGCTCTCTATCCCTCTCTCTTCCTCTCTGTAAAAAATCAATAAAATATATATTTTAAAAGATAAAATACCATGTATAGTAAATGTCAAAATTATGGTTTGTACAGATTGGTCTAAAGCAGGAGTGGGACCCTACAGCCCACGGGCTGTAAAGGCCCGGGAAATCATTTGGTCTGGCCCTGCCAAAGCATTAGGGGCAAGTTGATTAAATGTTTGACCCAGATAGCAGGATAATTTTTAAGATGATAATTGGTATATGGCCCGAGAACGGTGTTAGAAACATCTAGATGGCCCTTGGCAGAAAAAAGATCCCCCGTCCTGGAAGGGAGAGGGGCCGAAAAGCAGGTGCCATGTGAGTAGAACGTGGCTGACTGAGACAGTACTGAGATTGAAGGGCGGAGGGAGCAGCAGGCTCGGGTCTGCGGGGGCAGGGGGAGAAGAGGCTGGGGGCCCTTTGGGGCCCTGAGCTGCTGTGCATAGAATATGGCCTTTGTAATGTGACTCTAGGATGCTGAGAGCTAGAAAAGGTATATATATTTTTTAAAATATATTTTATTGATTTTTTACAGAAAGGAGGAGAGAGGGATAGAGAGCTAGAAATGTCGATGAGAGAGAAACATCAACCAGCTGCCTCTTGCACACCCCCTACTGGGGATGTTCCCGCAATCAATGTACATGCCCTTGACCGGAATCGAACCTGGGACCTTTCAGTCCGCAGACCAACACTCTACCAGTGAGCCAAACCGGCTTCAGCCTTTCCTCTCTCTTAAAAAAAAAAATCAATTAAAAAAATTTAAGTCCAGTCAGTGATTGAGCATCGACCTATGAACCAGGAGGTGACAGTTCAATTCCAGATCAGGGCACATGCCAGGCTGCAGGCTCAATCCCCAGGGGGGGCATGCAGGAGGCAGGCAATCAATGATTCTCATCATTGATGTTTCTATCTCTTCCTCTCCCTTTCTCTCTGAAATCAATAAAAATATTTTTTTAAATTTTAATATTGCATAGAGAAGCCCTCACCCCAGGGGGTCCCCTACTTCCCTGCCATGATGCATGAACAGATGAACCAATGGCGTCCCCTTGGTGAGTCCTCTGGCCACAGAGTCGTTGAGAAGGCCTCTCTCCAGAGCCAAGCTGATGGGGTCGGAAAGCAGCTCCGCTGTTTACTAGCTGTGTGAGCTCAGGCCAGTCGCTTAATTGTGCTTCCTTGTCCGTATCTTTCTCAGGAGGACACCGCCCCTTTCTCATGGAGGTCCCCAGGGGGAGTACGAGGCCAGCCGGGCAGTTGGGGTGGGGGAGTGAGGGGGGGGGCAGGATAAAGCACTCCCTGACATCCA